TGTATTCGAAAAACTTACGTATAAAACATATGCTTAAACATTTTTTCATTACAGAAAATTGCGTACTTCGTAAATAATTGTGTAAAAAAACAACTTTTTTTCAGTCGTTTATCACGTTAACCCACTGATAAATTAGAATAACTTATTAATTTATTGTTCATAATCAGATTAGGAATATCATTTAAATTTCATTTTAATGCATGAAAAAATAAATTTTATTCTTCAAAAACGTTTCTAAAAAAATTTACTTAATAAGAAATAACACACGATAAATTTAACTTCTACTTACCAAAGATGTGAAACGAGATACTTGAAAAGTTAAAACCATAACTCCCACAACCAGAAGTATCAAAACAATAGAAAATACAAGACGCAGTAAACCATCCAGTCCAAAGAAAACAACTGCGCAGAAGAAGAAACTTGTCTGATACACTCTGCAACAATATACGGCTGGTAGATATGCTTCACAGACTAGGTTCACTTCTTGTATATAAGTCCATAAATCCCAATGAGTTTCGATCAAGGTTTCGACTTTATTTTTTAGAAAACTTTCATCTTTTTTAAATTCATCGACTGCATCAGATAAATCATTGAATCTCTTTGACATCACGACAGCCAATGCACCTATAACAATAACACAACAATCTAATTGTCCAATTCCGTAAATGCACATTAATGTGATATTCAGATTACAGAATGCCAGTTCAAACTCGGAATTAGTTATTTCCTTTAAAGCAGGATACAGAAATAAGTCAATTACAGTAACTAATGTCATTATTATAAAAAATAAATCTGTAAGTAGAATTATGAAAATTTTTTGAATATAATCAGTCATTTTTTCCTCTCCTTCGTATCCGCTGTTGTTTCTAGGAAAGTAAAGCCTTTTCCTTTTAAAGAAACTGAATTGAAAAGCTAAAAAAATATAAAATGTAATTAAAATAAATTTTATGAGTATCTTGTTGTTTGGGAACATTCGGATCCATCCGACACACACCAAATTGTCTGTTATTTCTTGAGTAGAAAGTATTATGTTAGTCCACATAAATATCTCTATAGCTGTTTGGTACANTTTCTTAAACTGTAGTATGTGCAGCACATACTAGTTACCTACTACTATAACATCTGAGTTGGAAATATTAGTCAGAATTGTCGTTGACAAAGTGACCATACGAATGCAAGAATGGTATTTTATGCAGATTGTACAACCTTAGATAATAATTAACCTAAAAAGTTTGCACTAATTTTTCATGTTTTAATTCTTATAAATATTTTAAGATCAGTTTTAAAGCAATACATACATTTCTGTGAACATGTCCATTGCGACCGGTCCAAGTTCCATTTTTTAATTTAATTCCTTCTTCAACATTTTCTAATAGATACGTACTGAAATAAAACGTTTATAAAATTTTTATGAACAAATCTGATAACTATTTTAATAAAAATGTTTCTAATCAAAAAGTATTGAAGAGAATGTTTAAAAGAATACATTTAACTTCTGCTCTTTTCTCATCTCCCTTCTTGAAATTAAATTTTTATCTGAAAGTAATTATGCTTCACAACTGATTTTATTTAGTTATTGTTTTTAATTTTTGAAAATAAATTTAACAGCAATTATTTAATTTATGATATTCAAGACAATTTGCTATTTGTGGCATTGTCTTAGTACTATACACAGTTTTAAAAACTCTATATTAATCCTAAAATATGTGTTATTTTTGTATTTTAGATTTTAGTTTATAATTCCATATATGTATAAAATTAACAACAAAATAATTTTTATATCGAACTATTCAACGCACGAATTTAATTCTCCTCTACACTTTTCTATTGTGGTTTTTATTATATAATTCTTAATAATTAATACCCAGCTTGATGCTGCCTAACTTCCAAAACTACATCGCAACACCTTATCCACTGAGAATTATTTATTAACCATAATAAATATTTTAACCTGTTCTACAGGCCATCTTCAGGTTTTTAAAAATCATGGAACATTGATAACTGTTCTTTTTGTATAGAACATTAGACAACACATTTGAATACAAAATTCTTCGGAATATTGAGCTATATGAATCCAAAGAATAAATTGCAGTAAATTATGTACCATTTAAAATAACAAAATGACAAATCCAATCCGCGAACGGTATTCGGAAATTGTGTCACTCATAGAAGAAGTGTTATCCGTGGAAAAAGTTGATAATGTTTTTTAAAAGCAAGTAGAAGATAGACAAAACAGAACGCGATGATTACAAAAAAAGAAACAAAAGCAACTTTTATAAAATATCGGTATTCATGGCATTAATAAGGAGAGCCTTTATGTATTGCTCCAACATATATATGACAAGACTAGCTGTTACCTGCGACTTCGTCCGCGGAGGTTTTGCAAGCAAACCCCATTTATATTCAGTATTTCAACAACCATAGTAATTGTTATATAACACCTACTACTGAGAATGATGAGAATTGCTGAGAATCAAAGAAACTGTTTTCAATTTGATCAATTTTCTGGAACGTTTACAATCGTTCTATAATCGAACCGATANTTGCTTTAATAAGGAGAGCCTTTATGTATTGCTCCAACATATATATGACAAGATAAAAGAGCTGGGTAAAATTAAACGTTGTTGTATCCTTATGATATAAAACTACTGCAATTGAAAAATTGATAAAAAGTTATACGGAGAATAGAAACAGAATGGTAACAAGAGAAAACAAAATAACTGAGTTTATGTGTATAACAACAACATGACCGATGTTTTTTTCAATACTCTTTCCGCCCTGTGGGCCCTAAGAGGGCCTCTTATAGCAGACCCATTATGGGTTCGCCCAGGTCCACAATGGGGCGGCCCGGTGTGAGGGACGGGGCCGACATATCCGAACGGACCACCACCGAAAATTCTTGGAGATCCCTTGATCCGTCCGGATTCGATCCCGGGTCTCCCAGAGCGGTAGGCTGCCATCCGGCCGTCAAACATGACCGATGTTATGAATGAAATAGAGGACTACAAAGACTCCCAGTTTGTTGACAAAAGAGTGACCACCATTTAAAGCCTTGAAATGATAAAGTTACAAAAGGAGAGCAGGCTGGAATATACAAAATACTGTATAAAAATGAACAATTGGATTTGAGAAAGAATACATAGTGTTACAAACAGAAACCTTAATAAACTTCTTAAAGAACATATGAGAACAAAGCTAGTGAAAATCATTTAATTAGTAAAAACTTGATTTAATTTTATAATTTTTGTTTTGTCAAAAACTCAGAAGAGGGAAAAGTTCCAAGTTTCATACAGTTAATGTTGTCTTATTGTCTTTATATTAAAATAATAACAAAAATATTACAAAATTGGCGTCTTGCTGGTCATTGCATACTCTGTCTGAATTGTCCTTGTCAGTATTCTTGTTTAGTAAGTTAACTTTCAGTTAATATAACTAGTTTTAACTTAGTAATAAGTTATATTTAAGATAGCTATAAGTTAATTCTAAGTTATCAGCATATTTGCTGTTTCTCCTGGTTGTTTCTGTTACGTTGTTTTGCTTCTTACATGGCTCGGTAGCCTAGTTTCTGTATTATTTTCGTTTCATTATTTTTACCCAATCCTGAGGTATTAAACGGAAATTAGACACCAACAAATATTCACGGAATTTTTCTCCCGTGTTTTGACTTCAGCACCGAGTCGCGCGGCATAATATGAAACGTCATCCACAATGATGTTTTATATTTATTCCGCGCGACAAGCAATACTAATTGAATGGTTTCTCGGGTTCCTTGACTCGAGTTTTCTCAAAACTACTGAAAACCGAAAAAGATTAATGCACTGTAGTATTATAACATATTGCTATAATACAACGTATAATACTATTAAATAATAATAATAATAATCACAATTTAAACGTTAAAGATTATTCGTCTGTATATATAAACCAGGTGTTACCCACGGCTTCGCCCGCGCGAATTTTGCAATTTGATANATAATACAACGTATAATACTATTAAATAATAATAATAATAATCACAATTTAAACGTTAAAGATTATTCGTCTGTATATATAAACCAGGTGTTACCCACGGCTTCGCCCGCGCGAATTTTGCAATTTGATAGAAATAACCTTCCCTCGATACTTCATTAAGATTCTCAATCATTAGTTGTTATTAATTTGGTAAATTTACTGATTTTTGTTTGTTTCAAGCTATGCACTGCTAATTCATCTAAATTCAAGTTTCTAATATGGGATTCCGAGATACGATTTTAACAACCATAGTAATTCTTTAGTTTAAATCAATGTCTGTAATGTTATCAACTCAATATAGCATCAATTAGATACTATAAATCTAACCAAACAACGAAATTGTAGACAAAAACTTTAATAAAACAACAAATATACTCCATCTGCGCAACAAAGCTACAAAATTCGACCAAAAATATATTTTCCAATATATACTTTTCTACACCTTTTTCACCCCCTTAGAGGTGGAATTTTGAAAATTAATTTCTTAGCGGTTATCTCTGTCACTATAGGAATGCACTGTCAAAATTTCATCTCTAGGTTCAGCGGTTGTTTTTCTGGGCGATGATGATTCAGTCAGTCAGGACATGTAACTTTATATATATAGATGAGGATGTTTGTTTGTTCGCAATGTACTCTTAGGCTCTGGAACGTATCTTTCGCGGTAACGAGGCAATTGATTTATACATTATACATTTTATACATAACTTGATTATACATATGATTTATACATAACTTATAACATTTTTTTTTTTTTTTTTTTTTTTTGGAACACATAAAATATGTAAATGTTTCTTTATCCATAAAAAACAGTCCTGAAGAGTTTGTTTTCTGTTAGTAACCTATAGTAGTTCCTATCTCTATAAAATTAATATTATTTTTACTAAGTTTCCTCAGAGGCCGTCGAAAGGGAGGAGGCTGGGGAAAAATCCTTAGCCCCCTCCCTTCGACGGCCTGGTTACACGTTCAGTAGTAAGAGAACGGTAACTAAATATTCTCTTTTTTTATTAGCCACAAACTTTGTAGTCGGGTCTGTAAATTCTACTTGTATGAAGAAAGTATACAGAAATGTAATATTTAAATCGCTAGTTAAAGCAAAATTGTTACTTAAAATAAATAGGCAATTTCGTTATACTTGGATATTGTGATGATGAGCTTCGTGTCGGAGACGTTTTCCATTGATAGTGAAACAGCAGACGTTGCTTTGATTATAGACGACGACAATCACTCCTTCGCGTGAAAGTGCACATAAATCCGGCGAACGGAATGTTTCGGGAGCTTCCAAAGAGCGAAGTAAATCACCACTTGTCGTGTGTACAAGGACAGGACCACCTAAAACACAAGTCTTATCAAAAACTCAGAAACTGTTTCATCTTACATTTCATTTTATTACAGACATAAAGATACTACGAAAATTCAAATAGAATAATCAAGGCTATTTTGTAACCTGCATAAAACTAACGTTTCATTTTAAATCGTACTTTAAATATAGTTATAGTCCATTTCACTAAAATTTCGATAATATACTGTACACTGATATTTTTGTTTCAAATGCCTAAGTCAATCACGCGGAATAACGTAGGCTAACGTTACATCTCGATGTTTATTTTTCGCTCACTTACCTTTAGAACCACTGACTACTAATCCGAGTTCGGCAGAGACAACGATACACGTAACTTCACTCTCGTGACCAGTTAAAGTAGCGCGAGGCGTAGGAACATCTGGAGGAAAAAAAATCATTTGTAAAATATTTGTTGTGTGTATTCTTTTTTAATTAGGGATTAATACCACTAACGCACCGGGATTACTGTTATCTCCAGCTATACATTGGATTCTGGCATTCCAGTGCCAAAGGAGGACAGTGCAATCTTCCGATCCCGAAGCAATATAACAATCGGATGTAATATTGCATTCGGATCGAGCTAAACACGTCACCACTCCGAAATGTCCGTAGACAATCTGAACAATTTTTGCTGCAAAATAAATAACGCTTAATGTAGGAAACGTTTTAAGTTTCATAATAATTATCTTAGCGGTATAATTTATAAGTATTGTTTCCTTTACCCGATTCGGTAGCGAAAACCCTAAAACTGTTGTCCCAGAAACCACAGGCGACCAAAAAACGACTGTCAACAGTAGTGACGAAGCAACACGATCGCATACGCACTCGTTGACTAAAATTGTCTCCCAAATGACGCTTGTGAGGGGCGACATTCATCACTAAAAAATAAAAATCATTTTGATATTTTGAATCGACAAACGCATTATACTTTTCCTTATTAAAAAAAATGATTTACTTAGTAAAGGATCCATTGCTAAAGGCAATTGATTCGGAACTGGTGGCGAACTGTCCGAATACTGAGGTTGATGCAAAGGTCCTGTAAATAAAATTTACATAACTTAATGTTCGTAGTATAAACTTGGAAACTGAAAGACAAAAGAATNTTTAAAAAGTTAAAATAACCCTGTTTCTAATAAATATTATTTTAATAAAATAATCCTTTCTGAAATATTTCAAACCGATTAATATATTTACGTAACACGGACGTAATAACATGATGTGATCGTAATACGTCACGCGTTTTAAAAATATATTCTAACAATACCTAACAAATTGTTGCAATGTATTGTTCGTTTTTTCTATTGTAGGTGACCATTGTAAGGACAGAAGACGCCGACGAAAGGCGGAGAAATCCCGTTCGGCTGAAAACAGGAGTATCGGACGGGGCGAAGAGGGGTCTCTGTGTCACGTTTCTTTAAGGCCCGTTCGAGTAAAGAGGCCGACGGGAGATGGAGAGCCCTCCGAGTGTCCCGCATGTTTAAGACCCGCTCGGGTGAAAACAGAAGACACTGAGGAAAGGCGGAAAAGGCTTTCTGTGTCACGTTTTATTAAATTTCGCGCTGAATGTTTTGTTTTTGTTTATTGATGTTCGGTATGAGTTTGAAGTAAATTTTGTGGCCCTAACATGCTTTTTATTATGATCTGGAATCGTAGTGGCTTTTTTTCTTTCATTGTTACTAGTTGTTTTAAAATCGTATCTATTAGTTTAGATTAGTGTTTTTCAACGGAGGCGATATCCCCCATGTGGACGTTTTTCCATGTTGAGGGGGCGATTAGTAACAATTTATATTTTGGGTGGCAAAAAGAATTTTCTGGGCGATATAGTAAAACATTATATTAATATTAAGAATAATCAGATATTTTATTCGTTATATCTTACAATAATTAAACAAATAACATTATAATAGTCACTAGTCTATTCAATGCCGTACGAATTTGTCGTTTGCCTTGGCCCTCGGCATCGAAATTTTGATGTGAAGGGGTGATACTACGTAACGGTTTTATTGAAGGGGGCTATACCACGTTGAAAGAGGGCGATGATTCGTTAGGCGTTGAGAAAAACTGGTTTAGATAGTAACAATACGGTGAATTTCGAATAGTTGAATTTGATGTATTCAGAGGAAATTATAAATATTTTCATTGTGTGAGTTAGGACGAATGAAACTCGACAAGTGATGTCAGTCGCTTATGAAGTTGCATTCTTTTCAACTCTTGGTGGAATTCTGAAGCAGCCACCTCCACGTGGTGAGTTCTGTGTTGTCGTTCGTCTGCAAATGACGAATGGCAAGCGAAGAGCTGCTTGTTTCTTTCAATTGATAATAAGAAATGAAAACATGGCAATAAAAACAGAAATTACAAAAGTAATTAAAGTTAGGAGAATTAAGTATCTAACTTTGGTATAAATCGCTTTTAATTTTATCTATGTAGTGTTAATTCCTTTGGCTTAATCGTAATTGTGAACAGGGCAGTGCCGTGCTATGATGCAGAGATGCGGCCGCATCAGGCGGCACCGTAATGGGGCGTGATAAGCATCATTTAAGGTGTTTCATAAGCGGCATTTAAGAGGCGGCATTTCGAAGACTTGCATCATACTGAGAAAATCTACCGTACGGCCCAGACTTCTCTCGACAAATGTATATGGTAGTCCTATCGTCCGATCGCACGGTAGGAAACACCACGCTAATTAATTAAAAATAATTATTTAGTGTTATTAAACATTCTATAAGTACTTTAAAATAATTTAATTTGTTTATTTACCTTCGCTGGTAGCCTTCGATGTTAAATGTATCTGCCATTTTCTCGACGAATTTTCCGTGAGTCAATGCGTGACGTTCACTGAGTCACGTGATGATGGAACGTGCGCCGCAACGATTTTCTCTTGGAGTTAAAACGTAAATCGTGTACTTGTGTTCGCCGTATAGAAGTAACGTTTGAACTTGGGCCGCAACTTCTATTAAGAAGTTGCGGCCGAAGTTTTCGACGCGAAAACGTGAACGTCGGACGTTCTGCGCCGCCTTCCTGTAATCCTAGAAGTTTGACAATGGCGTTTGGAACGTCGAGCATGATTCCACTGACGTTCCAAATGTAATTGTCAAACTTTTAGGCTTACAGGAAAGCGACGCTGAACGTCCTACGTTTATGTTTTTGCGATAAAAACGTCGGCCTCAACCTATTAAATGGAGAGATTGCGGCGCAAGTACAAACGTTACTTATACACGGCAAACAGACGTATAGGTTTTAAGTCCAAGAAAAATTCATTGAGGCGCTCACAACATCACATGACTCAGTGAAGTCGCGCATTGACTCAAGGAAAATTTGTTGAAAAAATGGCAAATACATTTAACATGGAAAATTACTAGCAAAGGTAAATAACAAATTAAACTGTTTAAAAGTATTTATAGGATGTTTAATAACACTAAATAATTATTATTTTTCTATAATTAGCGTGTTTTCTGCGGTAAAAAATAGAAAAGTTCCGATGCGTTTTTCCTGTTATCACGACATACTTCTGTTGAGAGTAGTAGTGGCTGTAAATCCCTATGCGTATGAAAATCCGAAAGGTGCTTGGAAAAGTATATCTGATAATTTACAAACACACTACGATATCGACTGTAGAAGATGCGGGGAAAGAACAACTTTACTTCTACAGTATTATGACAAGATAGTAGACGGCCATCTTGCCTCCCAGATATACAGTCTGTTAGAAAAGTATAAGAACACCACAAATTTTATGATTTCTCAAAATTCACATTTTTTATTAGAAAACAGTTTTATACGTTTTAAGACAATTATAAAGATATCATTTTCAAGCTTTTTATCTTATAATAATAATATTATAAAAGTTATCTCTTTTTACTTGTTACCAAAGTATAGGTACACATTCTAAACTTAAATAAAAATAAATTTTAAATACTTTTAATATTTGGTTTCACCCCCTTTGGCTACAACTGCTTGAAATTTTTCGACCTGTCTAAATTTCATCCCAGGTTCCCCAGAGCAATAGGCTGCCATCTTGACCACTCAGCCATCTGGCACGAGCCCAAACCGTTAGGAGTTGAAACTTGAAATTTGGTACACAGTTACGGTACGTCAGAAGAATGTATACTAAGAAAGGATTTTTCGAAATTTCCCTCCCCCCTCCGTACGTGAGAGGGAGAGATATGAGGATTACGCTGAAAAACTCTGCTTCTACTGTACTACAGTATTTTAGATGCAGTTTTTTGCGAAAAATCGAAAATATTTTTAGACTTATCTAAGAATTTTTTAACTAGACTCGGAAAAAAAGACTTAATTTTTGCACCTCGATGAAAACGAATAAGATCAGCTATATAACTATTAACTATAAAGGTTATCTCACGTAAGAGTTTATCACACTGAATGACCAATCTAACACGTTTTAAAATTCTTTATTCCTCTACTGTACACAATTTAAAAAAATTTTTAAATGTGTCCGTTAATGCCTATAAGCGTGCACGAGTATAGTCATATATATATGACTATTCACTCATACATATATATGCGTGTGTGTGTGTGTTAATTAAGCCGTAAACCATAACCTAGTCTACAGTCGACCCCCCTATAACATTGTTGATTATTCCGTTTTATATGAATACCACATTGTACGAGTAACTTAAATTTTACAAATAGGTGTGCCGAACTGTGAATGGATCACGTATTTGTAAAATCTAAGTGA